GAAAAAATAAATGGTAAGGGAAAATTTGCTGAAGCCTGAGATGTGATTATCTCCCAATGTTGTAATAAAGATCATTGCCTACACAACAGAAAAATCTCTGTTTAGAAAAATTTCATCACAAATTAGGTTGTCAAGTCACAACCATTGTCATTAAAGAACAAGGAATAGTTCTTTCAGTGTGGTCACTATTACTGATGCCACACAGCAATGAGAAATGAGTATCGCAGCTTTCAAAGTACACAGCATTCACTTCTCACCACAACATATGGGAAATGTATTCTGTCTCCCAGGTTCAAGCAATTCTCCTGCCTTAGCCTTCTGAGTAGCTAGGATTATAGGTTTACAACACCACACTTGGCTAATTTTTATATTTTTAGTAGAAATGAAGTTTTACCATGTTGGCCAGGCTGGTCATGAACTCCTGACCTCAGGGGATCTGCTTGCCTTGGCCTCCCCAAAGTGCTGGAATTACAGGCATGAGCCATAATTTTAGTAGATATGAGGTTTCATCATGTTAGCCAGGCTGGTCTTGAACTCTTGACCTCAGGTGATCTGCCTGCCTTGGCATCCCAAAGTACTGGGATTATAGGTCTGAGCCACTGCGCCTGGCACAACATATGGGAAATTTAAAGTATTTTTTCCTTTCATCCTTCACTCAATTATTCATTCTTATTTTATTCATCAACTCAACAAAAGTAGATGTACACATACTACTCTGTTCCAAGACATAGGAATAATAATAACAAGACAAAAACAGCAACCATATCCAACACTCGCAGAGGGCCTGCTTACTATAAGCCAGATACTAAGTATACACATTAGTTCTTTTAGTTTTTGCACCAGTTTCCTGAAGGGTACAATTATAAGCATATTTGCAGATGACCAACTAAAGCATAGAAAGATTAATTCCCCAGGTCACAGAGTCCATAAGTGTCACAGCCAGGCTTCAAACCCACATCTTTGAACTCCAATTTCCATGCTTTGACCTCTATGCTCTATAAAGAAAAACAGACAAGGTTTTATGGAACTTCCAATGTACTAGAGAAGACAGAAATTAAATAAACATGGAAATGTGCTGTAATTTCAAATGCTAATGAGATCTATAAGAAAAGAGGAGGGTGCCACAAGATAGGATGGTATAACTGTTCACAGGCTCTTCTTGCAGGCTAAGAAATACAGTGATTACCTTTGGTGATTCTCATCTCAGCTAAAGAACAAAGTTATAAAATTTAAGAAAGCAAGTGGGATGAAAAGAATTTGGCAGAACTAAAGCTGGGAGCCTAGGGGTAACAGACTAAACAATTCAGCCCTTACCCCTTGCCATAAAGCCTTGCCATCTTGGTGGCCCTCCTTGTTGGTACACTCAGAATAATACAGATGAGGAGTCTGAGGAGAACAACCCATTCTGTCTTTATCCCTCCTTAATAAGAAAATCCAACTTGGATCAGGTGTCCCATCTCCACAGAAGAAAGCAAGTATCTTTCCTCATCTGCTGCCTTGGACCAATAAATCAATGATGGATGTCTATAAAACTTTAAATTCCACCTGAATAGTTCAGCTTATAAAAAGAAAAATAAAAAATTTCTTTGGCCTAATATGGACATGGGCTTCTAGAAACAATTCAAGGTATGGCTTATAGTCACTAGGACAAACAAAACAAAACACTTTTATAAATGTGGTTATTAGTAGACTCAGAAACCAAATGAAATATTGACTTAAAGAAAACAAGAACATAGAAGCAGAAAATCAGGTTCCCAGGGGAAGAAATTTCCCTTTCCAACCTGATTTTTTAAAAATCTGAACTTTATTACCCTGCTTGACCAATTACAAATCTACTCCTTTCCTTTTAGTGTTAGAGAAATCACACAGAAAGAAGCCTTTTTTCTCCCTTATGAATAAATAGCTTTTCTATAGATTTAGGAAAGTTTTACATCTCTGATTATCATTCTTTATGTATTATTTTTATGTCTCCAGTGTTCATATAAGGCATGGTCTGTATGTACAGGATTACACCCAAAGACAGTGTGATATATTAGCTCCTAATTCCTAATTCTGTGTTTCCTAGTTTCATACTGTGTTTGAACAAGATTTAGATTGGGGAGGGAGAGGGTAAGGTGTTCATAACACCTCAATTAATTAAGCGTGCTTCACATACCTAGGTAAATGACCAACATCATTTTCAGGTCCAATAAATAAATTAAGTTTTCTGGTTCATTGTTCAGAATCATAAAAATAGTAATTATTTGTGTTGTAATACTATAAGAAATCTCCTGTTTTGTCATCTTAATGTATCACTTGAAATAGGATTTTATATTCTACCTGACTATAATAGGATGTTAGTATATCTAAAAATGCTTAAATAATTAAACACACAAGTGAACAGTTTGATTTCCAATGAGGGATAAACAGTCTCCAATAGGGTCTCAGTATATTAAGGTCTCATCTTTCATATTTAGCAAATTACACTAGAGATAAGTCTAGGTACAGTTAAACAATAGGTAGGAGAAGGCTACTTAATATTAAGTTTAATATTAAAGAGGAATAGTCTAAAGGCTAGACTAAACTTTCAAAGAAACTTACAATAGATCATGTTAAATTTTTTGTTTGTATCATGAGGCTTAATTTAAAAATAAAACCTGAAAACCCATGTTAAATGTAACATTCTTTAGAAATATCTTCTGTATGTCATGCCTTAAAAATCTGTGAGTGACAGATTCTTATTTGACCTGTCATCAGAATCCATTCTTCTTTTATTAATATACTTCACTAATGAACAAAATCATGTCCTACAGTTTACCTAGAAATAAAATACCAAATAAATGCAAACAAAGGTTTTAAAAAGGATATCACTTAAGGATCTGGACTTCTCCAATTGAGGTAAATGTCCTTACATTTTATTTAGTACAAAAACTATCACCACATTTTATATGACATGGAAAACAGGATAAATACTGATGTCAAATGCCTGAGAACAACATTACATTTCACTACTGCAGGTCAGATAATTTTTGTGTGCTCTATTCCAGAAAAAGGCGGCGTTGGGGGGGGGACCCTTGTAATGGCTGCAGTTAATGTATTAACTTCAAAGCTAGCATTTCTTTCTCAAAGATCATTTTCTTTCTCTCCTTTAAAAGAGCGGGGGGGTTAGAGTATGAAATCTCATAAAAATAAAAAACTGAAGAATATGTTGTTGAGAAAGCACCTGCAAAGGATTTTCAGACCTTTGAAAAACGATGTAATCTGAATCACCTGTCTAAATAGGTCATTTAACTTAGAAAAATTAAAATTAGCTGTGCAGGGTCAATTCTTTTTCTACAGCATCTGCATCTTGTGTGGCCTCTTCAAAGTCAAACCAGAGCTAAGTGTCAAGAATAGCCATCATACATGAATTTATTCCAAATCTTAGTTATTCTGCTTGAAACGGCCATAAAAGTTAACATTATATATAAAAACACAGAGTGAGGGGTGCTATAAAAAGTTGGGGACGGAGGTGCAGAAGGAGACGCAGAACTCACATTTCACGAGAATAATGGTATGTGTAAAAGAGGGAGTCTCTACTTTTGCTCATTTCTTGCTTTTTCACATACACACTTTTACAGTATATGGCAAATCAGAATCAGGCGAGAAACGACACAAAACAAATACTTCCACACAAATGTAGTCTCCCACAAGCTTTTCTTTCGTTATCAACTAGCAATACAGTATTACGAACCTTAACGCTATTGTCCAGCACCTTTAAGTATTTACTCACTCTACAACACTCTGGTAAACTCGGGGATTTAATCCCTACTCCTCAGAAAACCTTTCCAGGAATAGAATGAACCACAAAAATCTTGAAACTAACATCTTAAAAATGAAAACAATAAAATAAAATGCAAATGAGAAGTTTAGCTGTCTAAGATATTCAGTGTTCTCCTACAACTAGATCATCCATAAAATCAAAAAGATCTCAACAATGTTGGAACAGAAAGGTGTCCAGGACCCTTGAACCCTTGACTTTAGAAGGGAGGGCATCCAAGGCGGCTGGCAGAGACACAATAGGCATCAGGGGAAGTACAGTAAGGAGTCAGTTAGTTTTGTTTCAAGACTCTTCAAAGCCATCAGGAAATGTACCCCATCCTTTCTGGGTTAAAAGTAACTTTGATGCACAGAAAAAAAAAGTACTTTCATAACCTCCGGCTAGCAATAATTTATCATCCACATGCAAAGAGTGATCGGAGATGCTACTGAAACAGATTCTCCTCTCTGCCCACTTCCCCAAAACGAGATCTGGAGGAATCCTGATTTACTAAAGACTCCTCTCTGTTTAAAGATGAAATGGAAGGACCTTTGCACGAACAAAGAGGCAAAATGAAGACTTGACATTGAGGAATTGCGAAAGAATTTCTAAGCTACATTCTTCTTAAGTGGGGGAAACCCAAAACAGAATTAAGGTCTCTTCACCTCCAGACGGAGGAGAAAACATAGATAACTGCCCGGAGCGGAGAGAAACAGCATCACTCCAGCCACCGCCCCCTACCCCTATTCCCAGGATCAAGGACAGAAATAGTCCCAGTAGCGAGGGGCAGGGCAGGCTGGCTGCTCCTTCCACTACGAGCTCTCCAAATCCGTTTTTCACTTCGCCCAGTCAGTCCCTCTGTAGTCCCTCAGCACGGACCCCCGCCCCCATCTCTCTAAGCGGCCACTTCTCCGCCCCACATCCTTAGTTCTGAGCGGACTCGGCCCCACAACCGCCCTGCCTCCGGTGCGTCCCTCTGAGTGGCGTCCCCCACACTTGGGTGGCTCACGAAAGCCCCGGGACAAGGCGCCAGCGCCGGGACTGGGGAACCCCGGGGGTTCCGGCCTCGCTGGGCTCCCGCCCCCCTACACCTCGACGCCTGAGCGGATTAGGCGGCTGGGCTCACTGTGGCGCGCACAGCCCCCGTCCCTCCCACTCTGGCCCCTCCCAGGCTCTGGCGCCCCGGGGTCCTCCGCCTCCGCGGAGGTGAGCGCGCACTCACCGGAGGTGAGCTGCATCCAGGCACAGATCTTGTACACAGTGGCTGTGTTGCAGAAAAAGAAGAGGGTAAAGCAGACGATGCAGGCGATGATGAGCATCATGGAGAGACCGATAAAGAAGGAAGCAGCTTTGAATGCGCCCGAGGGCAGCGTGGAGAAGTCCGTGAAGCTGCCCCTGCAGGTCAGCTCCCGGGAGAAGCCGTTGCCGATGCAGTAGTGGAAGAGCCCGAAATAGCCGGCTTGCGGGGTATCCACGCCGTCGCCGATCCAGTAGGGCTGGATGAAGCACACCACATTGACGATGGCAAAGCAGATGGTGAAGATGGCCCACAGCACGCCGATGGCCCGCGAGTTCCGCACATAGTTGGTGTGGTACAGCTTGGCAGCCTCCTGAGCCGGGAGCATCGCGGCGGCGGCGGCGGCAGCGGCGGCGGCTCCGGGCATTCTCCCCCTCCTCCTCCTCCTCCTCCTGGTCCTCCGCCTCCCCCCGCCTCTCCGCACGCAGGAGACACACTCACCGAGCCTCGCGCGCTGCAACTCCCCTGCCTCCGCCTCAACCCAGCAGCACCAGTTTCATAGTCTGCATCCTCGCTCCCGGAAGGAGGGCGGGGGAGCGCGGAGCACCCCTCCGGCTCGCCTGGCACAGCCTCCTGGCTCCCCTCCCTCCCTCCTGGCCCGGGCTCCGGCCCTCCTCACTACCCTCCACCCCTCTTCCAGCCGCCGCCGCCGCAGCTGCAGCTACTGCAGCTGAAGGCGGCAAATCCCTCGTGGAGCACCGCGGCGCGCAAGCCCGGGACTCCCCCTGCTCGGCTTCACGCCTCCCTCCCCGCTGCCCGGCCCGCGCTGCTAGTGCTCAGGGACGCAGAGGACCGCGGCCACCCCGGAACGCCCATCAAGTGGTGGACAGGAGCCAGAGAAGCGGGCTTGGATTAGAGGGCGAGGGTAGTCTAAGAAGGGGGCGGGAGCACCCACAGGGATACTAGAGGCAACCCCAGGATCCTGGTGGGTGTGAGGGGCCGGGCTCCAGAGACTGATTCAGGGAGCATTTCATCACCGCACAGCAACGTGCTTCGACCTCTGCATCTTTGCAGAGGCACGAGGGGCAGGCAGCGCGGCAGTTGCAGGCGAGGGACGCCAAGGGAGAGGAGGCGTACTGCCCCCAAGAGTCTTGTTACCATAGAACTGCCCCTGGCTAACTCCCTGGTTGCCTTTAGGTCGACAGGTGGAGATAGAAGTTGCGCAAGAGCCTGGCGGACAATAACGTAAAAGACAAACCTCAAGGGTGGTCTCACATCTCCGCAGCTGAGCTTGCGTCCTCTGCGTTTTTTCCCCAGGCAGCCAGCGGAACTGTATCAATGGATGCCCCATACTTTGCTTTAGGTCGCTTCCCCGACAAATCCCCCCATAGATTGGACCCGCTTATGCTTGGAAGTGACTGTCACAGAATTTTATAGTTTGTTTGAAAATAGGGTAGTTCCACCAGTATTCCATTTACTATTGAAATATTGACAGCTACTCTGTGCCCAGGCGCTGAGCTGGGTGCTAAGGGTACAAAAAGACGCAGCAGATGATTAATTGTCCAGGAATTTCCATCTCCCCCTAATACCCAAAGCTCCGGTTAACCAGTGCTGTTTTCAGGCTAACTGATCCCCGAATTATCCATAAAGAATTCCTTACATTTTCACATGGCATGGCTGTTGTACACCTGCCCTTCATGCTGTTTCTTTAGCCTATGTTTTCCCTTTTAACAGTCTTTCTGTTGCTTTTAATAGTTTCTACTTTTCAAACTGCATTTCTCTATTTCTGATGGTTATTTTTTGTTTGTTTGTTTCCTTCTGATTCTGATACAAAGAAACGTGTAACTACCTCCCACCCCCAGCTGTGAAACCAGAATGCTTAATTGTAGGAGTGGATTTTGGTAACAAATCATTTTGAACCATATGATCACCGAATTTTCTAAGCATTTCTATCAGAAAATTCTGATAAAATTGGACCCTAAGTCTATACCTAATTGGCTGTATCAATGGCTATTCCATGGAAGAAGGGTCATACCCTAAGTGATGAAAATTAACTCTTCATTTGATAATCTGAGGATTTGAGATTCTATGAAGAGGGAGAGGGAGAAAGTGGAATAGGAGTGTGAGACACATAGGATAATGAAAGGGCTGTTGCTGAAACTGAGAATGGATCTAAATGCATGAGTTTCAGAATCTTCCATTCAGCTTTTTATATAGGCATGAAATTCATATATTACACTTCAAGGTCCATCAGACAGAGCTTTGAAAATCAAGAGAGAACAATTAAACAGTAGGGTGAGACATGTAAGTTTAAGTAAGTAAGAATTTCTAGCAAGTGTGATTGTAGACTCTGAGAAGGTCTTTAAAATTTCAGACGGATTTGGAGGAGGTGACAAAGATGACCTAAATATGGGCTAGCCCAATATAACACTTGCAGGTCTCTAAAAATACAGTTCATGATGATGCATCATCAGTGCATCGGTAGCAGTGGAGGGTCAGAATTTGTTAGGTGTCATTTGTTTTAACTCTCCTGAAGTTGTTGGTAAATCAGAAGCATTTTAACATGGAAGGAGAAAGAGGAAAGGAGAATAATCAGATTTATGCGGCCATTTGGCACACCATGTGTCTCAGGGGCAGAGATAGCTTTACAGCAAGAACTGACAATAATTTCTAGTAACTCTCTTAAGCCCCCAAGCCCCCAAAACCTGCTTTTATGAAGTAATCTCTCTTTAAAATAAATGCCTGAAAGAGATCTTACTGTTTCCATGGAGTGGTTGAGATGGGAGGTGGCTGAGAAGGGAAGGCTGAGAATCAAAAAGCCTGGTTTATACCTCAATGCTTGAATTGCCTTTATGGGACAAAGAAAAGACTGGTGGGTGACTCAGATTCAAATATGATTCAAAGAGCTTTTCTATTTGAGTCATGCCCAAGGAGAGCCTTATTCTTATTCCAGGTTTGGAATTGCCTCTAGGTTTGTGTTCAGAATCACCACACCAAGGGGCACACTCAAGGTGTCCATTCTTGTCAACAGCAACTAGGATCAGACTAGTGTTGGTGTATTGCTGGTCTAAAGTGCTCCTATTCCCTCGGAGAATTTGAGTTGTTGCTTCTTGAGGTTAGGGTCAGTCAGGGATGAACTGCATGCTGCCAGTGGCCCTTCTCCCTATCTTCATCCTTCCCTGTACTACAGCAGATTTTCAGGATGAAGCAGGATCTTTAAAGAATCTAGCAAAGCCAAACACCGTATGTTCTCACTCATAGGTGGGTGTTGAACAAGGAGAACACGTGGACTCAGGGAGAGGAGCATCACCCACTGGGGCCAGTTGTGGGGGGAGGGTAGGGGAGAGACAGCGGTGGGGGTGGGGGAAGGAGGGGAGGGTGGAGAGGGATAACATGGGGAGAAATGCCAGATATAGTATGCACCTGAAGTTAAAAAAAAAAAAAAAGAATCTAGCAACTAAGGATGAGCTAAAATACCTGTGAACTCCTGGCTTGCTATCAACCAATTCAAAATGGTCTACCCTTTCCCATACCCTTTTGTCACCCACCCCCCAACCCTGTCCTTAGTAACCAGGGATCCCAGATGTAAGACTGTTTCTACCCTTAATCTAAAACTTTTGGCTTACACCCTGTAGACTTTAGGAGAGTTGTGACAGCTAAGCATCTGGGCAATTTACTTCACCTCATCATCAAATCTGATGTGACCAGGAAAGCTGCTTTGGGGAGGAGGAAATAATAAAACTAGCCTGATTCATGCTAAGAACTTGCTATTGATAGAAAAGTATTTTGAAACTATAACATGATTCATACGTGCTAAATACCTAGTAGAAGCCAGTGTCATAGACAGCATTGAATTAGAAACACTGAACACGCAAATCTCCAACTTCACTGCTAAACTGTTTTCCTGTGACTGCCGCAAAGGGTCAGTAGTGAGACTCACACTCACTTTTTTGCAAACTGTGTCTCAATGAATGTTAGGTCTCTACCAGAGAAAGCAACAAAAGAAGAATGTGGCCATGTAACACTGCTAAAAAGATCCTGGGTAAGGTAAAGAGCTAAATGTTTTGATCCCAAACTACGCTGAGACAATATGGGAGAGCGGGGAGAGCATGAAAGCCCTCGAGGACTACAGACCTGGGATCCAGACCTAGCACCATCTTTGTTGAACTATGAAAGCCTAAGGATCTTACAAATCCACTTTCTCATCTCTAAAATTATGGTGAAGAAGATGGGACATCAGATGAATACTGAGCTGCCTTTCTGCAGTACAGTTTTATTCTATGAATACTCTTTCAAGATAACTTTGAAAAAATATAAAAAGAGAAATACAACCCAGTACTTGGGAGAAAAATTAGGTAAGACCTAAGAAAGATATATCAGACTGTGGTGAAATAGACATTTTCTTTAAAATTGAAAACCCCTTCTGAAATGCCATCAGTATAATTTTTCAAGCAATAGCTGCTTAGAGTTTTCAGATGAGTCATTGCTATGACCTTGGATAATGGAAAAAGAGATGATTTCTACAATCTGTTACTTAATCGATTTTTAGGTCTATTGCCAAGGTCAGTATTACATTCCACTCCAGAATATAAAGATTCTAGTAATGAAGCTTTTTTCACTCATCAAGGCTTTCTTTTGCTCTCCTACTCCTTTAGTTTTTTTGGGGGGGATTTTCAGAAACCAGGAATCACCTCTTAGATAATCAATCACTAAGTTAGCAGTGGCAATCAGATAGATTGAGTATTTCAACTCTCCCTGCAAATCAAGATCAAATTCATCACAGGACTCTGAATTCATTGCACCTTAGTCTGTGTAGAACTTCAAATGGGGAGGGAAATGGGAAATGGAAATGCCAGGCTTTCTCCTTCTTTCCTTTTCTCCTCTGTTATGAATTGAATTATGTGTAAATTGCCCCTTTTTAAAGTTTTTGTTTTCATTTTTTCCAGAACTCAGTTAAAAGCATAAGTTGTTTTCTCATAAGGCTGACCATCTAAAAGAACATATTAAAAGAACTCTTTTGCTATTAATCTGCCCTTGATAATTTTAGAATGATTCTGTCTAAAGATACGTAGTGACCTCTACTGAATAAAATACTACAAAAATATGACCATCACCTGAAGTGTGATTTTTTATAATCTGTCATAGTGATATTATATTAAAATTTAAACTTCAGTGTGCAGGTTCTATGTTTTTTGACTCTAACACTAGTTGATCTTCTTGATCTTTAAAAAAGAAAATTTTATCTGCTGTGCCTTCTGAACGTGCTTTATGATGTTTCCCACTCAAGGTGCAGCTTGATTGAAAATAAACACCTTCAATTTGAAACATCTACCCTTGTACCTTCAATTTGGGGCCTGTATTTGAACCCACTACTTGGATTCTCTGCTAAAGGCATCTTTATCCGCACAGCTTGTTTCTCCTACTTGGCAATCACTTGAGTCTCTCAAACCAACAAGTTTAGCCTTTTAGAGAAGATCCCCAAGCCACATATTCTATATTTTAAGTCTTAGAATTCCAAACACATTTCTAAAGGTGCTTTCTTTTGCTGCCTCAGTAACACAAAAATATTACTCTTGATAAATCAGTACTTTTGTTGTAGAGGCACCTTTTTATATCTGTATTAGTCAGCTCTTGCTGCAGAAGCAACACAAACTCTCAGTGGCTTATAACCACAATCATTTGCTTCCTACCTACAGCATGTGATAAGTTGCTGGTTGGCTGTAGTCCTGTTCTAGACAGCGGACCTGACTGCAGATCTTATCTTCTCATTGTAGGGTCCAAGTTGATAGAGCAGCCTCTATTGAGGACATATGGTTTTATGACAGAGGACAGAACTACAAGAGGCTCAGGTGAATTATAAAACTGTATATAAAACTTCTGCTCAAATGTAGCATGTAGCATGTTATACTCCATTGGCCAAAGCATATTGCATTGGCTGAAGCAGATCATACAAAAGTCAATGTCCTGGGGATGTATAATCTTCTTAAAACAGCTGAGTGAAAATCTCAAGAACTTTTATGAAAGTTGCTACCTTCACCCTCCCTGCTGATAAAACTTTAACACCAACTAATTTTTCCAAATGTTTCCTGGCAAGACTACATGCATATGTGATTTTTGTTTGAGGGTTATAGACTTTCAAATCAAATGACCATTTCAAACTGAATAGCCATTTTATCCCACTCACTGTTTTACTGAAGAATATGTTCCTTTTTGTCTTTTTATTTAAAAACTTGCAAACTGAAAAGGGCCAATGAAAAGCTAAATTTATATTAAATATCTTCACTTTACAATATTCAAACATGAGATATGATTCTGCCTGTTAAAGTGCATATTGTAAAAAATATTTAGTTTCAAAGTGGAGACAAAACTTACCTTTTGAATTTTTAGGACTAATTTATAGTGTTTTCCAAACTTGAATATGAATCTTTTTAAAGGAAAAAAACCCTTAGTGGACCTATTATAATGACTTGCTAAGTTATTATTTTAATGTTTTTTTTTCTTTTTTCTTTTTGAGACAGTCTCGCTCTGTTGTCCAGGCTGGAGGGCAGTGATGTGATCTTGGCTCACCACAACTTCCACCTCCTGGAATCAAGCATTTCTCCTGCCTCAGCCTCCTGAGTAGCTAAGACTACAGGTGCATGCCACCATACTTGGCTAATTTTTATATTTTTAACAGAGATGAGGTTTCACTATGCTGGCGAGGCTGGTCTCGAACTCCTGACCTCATGATCCACTTGCCTTGGCCTCCCAAAGTCTGGGATTACTGGTGTGAGCCAATGCGCCCAGCCTATTTTAATGTTTCTTACATGGACAGGATAAATACTAAAAGCCTAACATTTAATTTAATCGGAGTTCAGTCATGGCAGCATGAAGAGGTCAGTATTATCTTCTCCTCCAAAACAAGTAAAACTGAATAAGATTGTCAAAATATTCATTTCAGGGCTCTGAAGATTGACTATAGGCAAACAGTAAAGTGAGAGGTGTTTATTCATGAAGAACTGCTGGACTTTGGATAAGAAATGTGAGAGTTTGTGACCTTTAGGGTGGGGTGGCACCCTTGTTATCCACCGTAGCTCAATCAGCACATTAGTTTTAGTGTGACAGGGCCAGCAGTGAAAACTAGCAGCTTCTTCCAGAAAGGGAAGACCAGAAAAACATTATACATGCCAAAAAATACAATCACTGAAAGTAACAAGCTCAGTAGAAAATGAATATGGAAAATCCACAGTTCTTCTAGCCTGAGGTCACAGTTGGAGCAAACAGGACCAGTCCAAAATTTAATGAAACTACTCAGGAAATTAAAGAACTGTACAAAAGCTAAATAAGCCCTCCACACAACCCTAGCCAACCCTGGAATGACATGCATGTTCAGAGGAGACAAAAGAGGGTTTGTTGGCAAAAAGTAGAAGCTGAAAAAGAGTTGAGAAATGGCTGATTCCATTGTGAGAGGATGGAATTCTTACAGGTTTAATGTATTTGTGTAGGATCTCTGCCCAAATCATTGCCTGACCACTAAGCCCTGCAGACTCAGGGAAAACCTCTAGAAAACCAGTCTAAAAAATAAGAAGACTAATTTTTAAAAACTTGTACACAGATATCAGCATCCACACATCATGAGGAAGACAAATTCTGCAGATTAAGTCCAGGCAGGGTACTCTAAAAAATCCCTCAGGAGAGAAAATCAGAATCTACAGTTGCTATCACTATCCAAAATAGTTTTATATTAAATATTATGCGACATGCAAAGAAACAGGAAAATGTCACCCTTAGAAGCAAAATACTTTAGAAACTGACTCTCACGTGTTGATTTTAGTAGACAAAAACTTCAAAGCAATTTAAAATATATTTTTAAAAATGAAAAGAAACTATATTTAAAGACTTAAAAGAAAGTATAATGACTATTACACAACAAATAGAAAATCTCAATAGAGAAATGGAAGCCATAAAAAAGAACCAAATGGAAATTCTAGCATCAAGAAGTATAACAACTGAAATAAAAAATTTATCTGATGGGGTTAACATAGATTTGATGTGGTAAAAGAAAGCATGAGTGAATTTGAAGATAAATCAATAGAAAGCATCCAATCTGAATAATAGAGAAGAAAAAAAAGTAAAGATAAATACAGCCTCAGAGACCTGTGGGACAATATCAAATGTCTAATGAAAGTCCCATAAAGTTTATCTGAAGAAATAATGGCTGAGCACTTCTCATGTTTGATGAAAAACATTAATCTACAGACCCCCAAAGTAAAAAAATCCCAAGTAGGATAAACACAAAAAGATACCTACCTAGACATATACTTAAATCCC